TTAACTCTGTTTTTTCCTTCACAGATGCTGCCAGACCTGCTGAGCTTTTCCAGCAATTTTGTTTTTGTTCCTGATTTACAGCATCCGCAGTTCTTTCGGTTTTCATCTGAAATTATTCTTTTCTTAACCCCAAGAGTCAACTGCGATCCCAGTTGAAATTAAATAACATTTCACAGCCCGACTTTGGAATCTGCCCGGCTCTTTGTTACATTGAAGAGCTGGGGAATCAGGAACATACAATGAATAATTCGGGTTTCTAAATCGTCAATAACGGTAGACAACTCAATGCACCGTCTTTGATGCATCTGCTTCTAACAATGCAAGTAAAATAAGTGCAGTGAGATAATAAACACCAGAATTACATTCCAAGCGGCTTCGCCTCAAAATCCTATCCCGTCCGTTAACTGGAGCAGGCTTGAATTGAATTCATCATATTTACATAAACAGGAAAAGCTGTTGCACAATTTTGTTTGGACTTGTTTATGCTGTCCTTTACAGGCAATTATCCATGAGGGGGAGGGGGGTGGGCGTGTGTGTGTGGGTGTGTGTGGGTTGGGGTGTGTGGGGGTGGGGGTGTGTGCGGGTGGGGTTGGGGATGGATCCTCCGGCGGTACTGTTTGAGTCCCATCTTTCCTGGAGTTAAGTCAAACACGTGTGAAAAGGTCGACAAAATAAAAATACCTCAACTAACCTAACTGAAAAAATATTAAACCTGTGGCAATTGCCACTTTGCAGTTTATAGAATCTCAATGCGTGCGGACTGGCTTCTATTCTTTCCGCATTATAAGAGTGACTACTGTTGAAAAGTACCGTACTGTAAAGCAGCTTGGGTCAGCCTGTGGCCGCCAAAGGTGCTGTACAAATGCAACTCTTTCTATAACAGGACAAGACCCTAAAACTTAACGCACCCAGTTTATCTACTGGATATATTCCACCCCAACACGCTCAACAAGCACTAATCGCCAGGACTGCACAGCTGTAACTGTAAACATAAAATGAAAAGATTAACTTTGTTTTGTTCCTACTATCTCTGTAGTAAGTAAAGATCTGCGTGTCGAGCACAATAGACCTACCGTACAGGCTGAGCATTAGCAACAAGAAATATGTGGTCCCCATTTCCATTGCTATTCGCTGCGACCACCTTCTTACACACTTATCCCCAGTTGCACTGACTACTGAGCGCTCATTTGGAGCAGGTATAGGCGTAGGACGGAGTCACCGACGTCAGCTTCCGCCTGCGAATTTCCCGCCTGAGAAACATTTCACGAAAAGGGAATTTCCTTTCCACTCTCCCTGGAGCGAGCTCACTGCCAAAACATACGCGGAAAGCAGTGGGAGAGAATGTTCGCTTCTATTTAATGACTGAAAGTAAATATTTGACATCTCGTACAATAGAACCAACTTCTGAAAATCTCCATTGAATATCTTGCCTTTATTCCCATTGCCAGTAGCTCACTGATCCTTTCAATTTTAAAGCGTTTGTATAAGAACAGCAGAAATGTCAGCGTCTCAATTATAACAGCTCCCGTTCGCCTCTATTCAATTGGCTTGTTGTGTATCAGAATTCCTTTAGATTTGTAGCAATATCGATCGCTTCTTTTTCTGCCGCCAGTCCATTGTAGATCAGATTCTCGTTCCGATGCTAAACTGGTGAAGGAATTTTAAAATGACCTGCGACAACAAGTTGCAGGGCTGGATGAACACAGCAGGCCAAGATGCTGCTTGGCCTGCTGTGTTCATCCAGCCCTGCACCTTGTTGTCTCGGATTCTCCAGCATCTGCAGTTCCTACTATCTCTGATTCAATTAAAATGACCTGCGTTTCTTTAACGCCGGGGCTCCCCAGGTCGAATCACGACCAGTGAGTGTTGTTCTGAAGTGCAGTCAATCGCGTAATGAAGGCAAAGGTAACATACCTGTTATGCACGGCAAGATCCCATGGGTAGCCATGTGATAAATGACCAGATGGTCTGGGTTAGGGATAAGTAATGTCCAGTGCGGCTCGGGAAGAATGAGCTACCCATTTCTTCTTGGAGGTAGTACCATTGGGATCTTTTACACCCGCCTGAGAAAGCAGTCGCAGCCTCAGTTTTAGGGTTCGTCTGAAAAATAGCACTTTCCCCCCGATAATGCACGAGGTCCCCGAGTTAGGAACGTATAACTTATGATCTGTTTACGAACGTGATCCCATACATGGTTTAAGTTTTTAAAGACCTGACATAGGAACGTTTCCAGTACTTCTAAACAGCTCCTTCACATTGTCCTGCATTGTGTTTTTGAATTATGTGCAAAATCGACTTGAGAACGGACTCCAGAACGCAACCCATCAACAGATTTATTAGGAATCGACTTTGTTCATCCCCGTCCAACACCGGCACCTCCACATCATGGAACCCATCAATAATCGGGGACTGGAATGTCAGTCTACACTAGATTTCAAGATTGTAATTTATTGTGTGAAATATAATTAAAATTAATTAATTACAATATAATGAAATAACAAATTTAGGGCAGCATGCTGACTCACTGGTTAGCAATGCTGCCTCATAGCGCTAGGGACCCACGTTCCATTCCAGCTTCGGGCAACTGTCTGTGTGAAGTTTGCACATTCTCCTCCCGTGTCTGCGAGGGTTTCCTCCCACAGTCCAAAGATATACAGGTTGGGTGGATTGGCCATGCTAAATTGTCCATAGTGCCCAGGGGTGCCTAGATTAGGTGGATTAGCTGTGAGAAATGCAGAGTTACAGGGATAGACAGGGGGGTGACTCTGAGTGTAATACCTTTCAGAAGGTTGGTGTGGACGCCTTGAGACGAATGGTCTGTTTCCACACTGTAAGGATTCTACTAAAGTTTCACTCAAAATCGAATGTTGTATTTATGTAGAAATTTTGCAGAATGAGAAATAAATTCTAGCTGAATTTATGTGGTTGCCAGGGTGAAATTTGCGACAAATGTGCAGGAATGTTGTTTGCTAAATATTTCAAACCATGATGCAATTTATTTGAAATCATCATTACGCTTTCAAAACGTTCCTATGTTGCTTCACTATGATTCACTGTCTTAAATTGCACACATTATTTTCCAATTTCTATTTCATCGTCTCTTCTCTAAAGTAACCTGTACTTTGTTTTAAACAAAAAATAGAAATTGCTGGAGAAACTCAGCAGGTCTGGCAGCATATATGGAGACAAAACAGAGTTTTGAGTCTAGTGACTCTTAGTTCTGTTGTAGGTAATAAAAAAAATTACAATTAAAATTTCATATTCTTGCTCCATTGCTAAACCTTTGAAGGAATTTATAAATAACCAGTGTTCTATAGTGCCCGTCTGCTTCTCAGGACTCCCTACTTAAAGGCCCATGATAAATATTGGTCTTGCTAGTGATGCCTATGTCCCAAAAATGAACAAATGAAAATAACATTTTCTAAGGTTTATACTTTTTGAAGAAAGTACAATCATGTTGGTAGTATGCACAGATCAAAGTGTTTGGCAGGATAGGTTTGCAACAGATAGAAAGAGCATGGAGGTGAGATGGAGAATGAACATCTTGCGTCTTGTGCAGAATGTTAAAAGGGGCTCAAAGAGATGTGGGGTTAGGATTTAAGTTTTGGACTTCACAGAGACTTAAGAGTTGTGCACAGGGGAAAACTGTGTCTCTTATTTCTGGCTACTCTTATATAATTTAGAAGAGACGGTGAGATGGAGGGAAATACCCACTTTATATGTAATTACCGTATTCGATTCCCTTGGGTGAAGTCAAGAGTCAGCGCAATGTTGGATAAAAGAGGGAAAATTTACCGGAATTGTTTAGTTTTAAACTCATTCATTTTTCTAGGCTGACAATATTAAGGAGACCTCTGACAAAATTACTTTGTAAATTCTGAGACAAAATTAGTAAAAGTGTATGTAATCGTGTTCTGAGTCAGCCTGGCCTACACCTACTTCATCTTTCTGGGGTAGCTTCAGTTAGCTCTGGAAAGCAAATTCAACTTGTTTCTGTATCTGTTTTCATACTGGACACATTGCAAGTTTTTTTTTTCACTTTCAAGTTCCCATTTGTGTTTTTTGAGGAAGGTTTTTAACTTAATGTCAGCAGATCGATACCTCAGATACCAGAGCAGGGACTTTTCCAAGAACGGATGAGGAACTATATGAAGGGCCTTAGCCTGCAATAGTAGGCAGTGGAAACACAGCCACAGTCTCCCCGGTGATGTCATCCTATTTGAACACTGACATCTTACATTGCAAGGGGGCACCCAATACTGCTGATCCATTTAGAGGGTCTGTAGTTCAGAAACCTCAGCCACCAAGACAGCTGACCTTTGCTGAGCGGCCAGGATAACAAGGGAGACTGTTCGCCTTCAGTGGCCCTTACAGAGCAGGATAACAATTAAGTGCGGAGCTGGAGGAACACAGCAGGCCAGGCAGCATCAGAGGAGCAGGAAAGTCAGAAGGGTCCCGACCCAAAACTTCAACTTTCCTGCTCCTCTGATGCTGCCTGACCTTCTGGTTTCCTCCAGCTCCACATGTGTTATCTCTGACTCCAGCATCGGCAGTTCTTACTATCTCTCAGGATAACAATTAAGTTTGCTGGTTTCTGGAGGGAAGAAGTAGGAGATTCCCAAAGCCACCTCCTCAGGTTTTGGAGCCTCCAGTACACACCACTCACCCAGGAAGCAAACTCCAGGCATCTGGTGGCCTTCTCATGTGGAGAAGGTAGGTGAAGGGGCAATTAAAATTGTTGACAATTGGGCCTTTAATTAGATCAGTTGGCTGTCTATTTCTGGTCAGCAGACAGTTGAGCTGTTGTTTCTCCACCCACTGAGAAACCTCCACCATGGCAGAACTGCATCCTGATATGGGTCATCTGCATTTTACCATGCCCATCCCAGCAGAGCCTGTAAAAGTTCACCACAGAACTACCATTAGCTGTTACCTATATCCCACCTCAAATCAGGTTCCATTCACCTAGCACACAATATACTTACCTGGCACCTGATCCAGCAGCATCCTCATTTAAAATTTTCAATCTTGCATTTCAAGCCCTCCATGTCCTTGCCACTTCCTAACTGCATAACACCATCCAGCCCATCTTCAGTCCTCTGAACAAAGGCAGCCCAAACCATTGTGGTCTCCACTACAGGAAGAACAAGAAGACAAGAACCAATTCTCCCCCACCAGGACTAGGATCAGATCTTTCAGAGTTGGTACCAATCTTATCAAACCCGGCCATCTGGCCAACTCAGCCAATTGCTCTACCACCTCAAATCCCCAGTGCTAAGGATATAGTTGCTGCAGCAACATGTACTTTTACCTGCATGTTGTAGCCTGCAGCTATGGATGGCGATAGTAGAGACACTAACTTACTTACATAGCTAAGCAGAAACTTCTCCCATCCTACTGCCTGCCATTGGCATATGTTGAAAGGATTTACAAGTTAATACTTTCCTTGGCCATGGAATGGGACCTAAACTCAGATGCAGGGACTCTATGTACTGCAACACAAGACCTCTTCATCCAACCCTAAAATGCTCCAAGATATAATCTCAGTACTCTTCCAAATCTGGCCTCTTGCCCAACCCCAACTAATGCCAGTATACAATTGTTAGCTGCTCTTTCAACTGCTTGGGTCCTGAGCTCTGGAATTGCTTCCCTACACCTCTCTGCCTCTCTCACATCTTTTAAGACCTAACTCTTTGACTAAGCATCCGGTCCCAAATCTTATCTCTTTACATGGATCAGTTTGTTTGATAATTGGACTGTGAAATGCCTTGATGTTTTACTGTGTTCAACAGAATGTATGAAAGAGATAGAGAGACACTAATGCAAAGAAGGAGTTGTAGAGTCAGGATGAAACAAAGGAAACACACTTCTATAGCTGTACAGAGATAGAAACATGTGTACAGATGTAGAGAGCTGCACAGGTGGTGATGTCAGCCCCAGAGAAACAAGTTGAAGGTGCAGTAATCCTCATGGTCATACTTTTGGAAAAGCACCCAGTGGTTGAGTTTAAATATCATTGTGACTATTTATGAAACTGAATTTAATTGTGAAAAATATTAAGTAAACAGTTCAGTTATCATAAACCCCATCTGGTTTACCAATCTTTTAGTTCAGTTTCTGATATTTTTTGAAGCCATTCAATAAACCTTGCAGCTTTCTTTGGTCCTCAGAATTATATTTA